ATGTTTGATGGGAAAGAAGAAGAAAGAAATCACCCAGAGCCCCGCCAAACCACCCACTTAGATGAAGGCGGAGTACGTGGAGTTGGTCTTGAGCTTGACCTCCATGTTCTCGCAGAAGTCGGCCGTGAACGGGATGCAGTTGAGGTAGACGCACCAGTCGCACTCAGACAGCAGCGAGAGGTAGAAAGAGGATGATGAGCAGCGTGAACAGCCCCACGGCCATCCCCCAGCGACACAAAGAATGGTCACGACACGCCGCGTGATGTTGAACTTTCCGAACGACACGTACGGCATGAGGGCGAAGCCCAGCAGAAAGCCGAACAGAAAGCCGAACATATGGGCCCAGTTGTCAAACCAGGGCAGGAGGCCGAGGAGGAAGAAAAAGAGCAGCGGTCCGATGAGCTTGACCAAGGCCAGGGCCGGGCTGCGGTACATCTTGCGGTTCTGGATCACCTCCCCCAGCAGACACGCCACGATGCCGAACTGGGAGCCGGACGGGCCCTTCTGGGGGGGGGGGGGGGGGGGGGACAAATGGGAACACATTTCGGATTTGTTTTAGTTTTTATGTTAACCCTATCCATACATCGTGTTTTACTACCGTATCCATATGACCATACGACATGGGAAACTCTTTGCCACCACTTTATAATAAAGAGGAAATTTACTCGCTAATCCGATCCGTACACTTTGCATAGCAGTCAGTCAAAATGATATTTTCAGAAATACAGAAAGTTTCAAAGAGATCTTCGTACTAGTAGTATTCTAAAATGTGAAGGATACAACCCCGGGGGTACAAAATGACCCCAGGGCGTACGGATATGGATAAGTAAGAGTGAGTTTTATGGCACTTGCAACACATTCCAGTCATATAAGTGACGAACATTAGGAGGCGTTACTAGAGAGTAACGAGCAAAGAAAAGTTTGTTTGTCTACTAAAGTTTGACCATCCTACGACTGAGAGCGCGAGCCGGGCGGTACTCACCTCCACTTGGTAGGGGATGAAGGTACAGCTGGCCAGGTTCCCGGCGATGCCGGAGCCCAGGTAGATGATGCTGACCCGAATAGCACCCATCAGCTTCTCCATGTCACGCATGATGTACATCTGGAACAGCACCGTGATGGCCACGTGCACCAGGCTGTCGGGGAAAGTAGGTCAGGGGGGAAGTAGGTCGGGGGAAACGTTTTAGTTAAAGTAGTTTAGTTTTAGTAAGAGTTTTACGGCACTTGCAACACAATAAGGTAATATAAGTGCCGTAGATTAGATATGTTACAAGAAAGTAACATACACAAAAAAGGAGAGATAAGGACGACAGATGTTCGATAGGAAAGAAGGAGTGAGCCACACCAGAGCACCAGCCAACCATCCACAGTTAAAGTAGGCATGGGGAAACTTTTTAGTTTTAATAAGGTTTTACGGTGCTCAAAACTGCATAAGGTCATATGAGCGCCAAGGGGTGGATGTCAACAGAGAAGTCCTTACAGGGAATCAGGCCTACTTCGCTCAACTCTCTAGCCTCAACAGCACAAAGTCTGCTTCGACTATCAAGGCACCCCGGAAATAGCAGGTCACAAGAGTGTGACAAACATACAAAAGAAGTAGAGGAAAATGACAATAGTAAGGATTAGGAAAGAAAAAGCAGCAGTTCCCTGTTGTAGTTCAGGCACAATTATGAGCATGACATTGATGAATCAGCCCATTTACAATTCTACTGTGCATAAGAACATGGTCAATACCCCCCCCCCCCCCTTTTGGGAATGGCCTAAAGACACTTCAGTCAGAAGCACCGCCCCGGGGGTTGACTTAGACATGCTTGTCCGTGCCACAGTTAAGGGGAACAGCATGAACAGACTGCCAGGCAATACATATAAGTATAACAGCACCTCTCTCTCTCTCTCTCTCTCTCTCTCCCTCTCTCTCTTTCTCTCTCCACAGTTAAGGGGAACAGCATGAACAGACTGCCAGGCAATACATATAAGTATATCAGCACCACAATGTTTCTCTCTCTCTCTCTCTCTCTCTCTCTCTCTCTCTC